AATAATAAAAACATCAACTAAAAGCAGTATAAACACATGAAAAAAAAGTGAATATGTAAAAATGTGATAATCAACAAGCACCTCACAGGAGTAGGAAAAAAAATTGTTTTGAATGCAACAAAAACCTAAACACAATGCTATCTAAACTCACCGGCTCCACTCCAAGATCTGTGAGGATCTTGCTGATGGTCAAGAGCTTGTAATAAGGAACATTAAGTAACCGAGGAGCTAGTGCAACTGCCTCCTTGGTGCTGGCCCCAGCAAGCTGTGTCACCTGCTCTGCTATCAGCCTTAGGTTGTGTGGACTCCCAGACAACAGGTAGCCATGCCGCAAAACCTGGCAATTTCAATGCGTTCAGTGTTACATTATATGTGGTTATATCAGTACACACACATACACAAATAAAAATATATATTCTTCCATAACCTGCACACTGTTTGTTTTATTATTATTTTCAGCAGATCAATGCAAGGGAAAGACTGACTAAATATAAATGAATGACACTGAAGCCAAATGCTGCATTGGGTAGTGTTAACATTTAAAAAAATGTAATCTCATGACCAGTCCTTGAAGTAGCAGTTTATGAATGAACTTTACATTTAAACAAATCAACTCTCCTTTTCCAATTGTCTTCTGAACCTACAAAACCAAACATTCCTAAAATTGCTATTGTCACTACTATGAGCACAACACTTGGCTAATTCTGCGAACATATTTAACTAATATTCTTACACACTTAATTTTGTTACAGTCATTTCGTAATGAAAAATAACCATGTAATGTTAACACGACACTATTGCATATGCATACTTAACTTTTTTACAAATATTACCTTACTGTTATTGATATTCCATTCATTGTTGAGAAGCTCAAACACTTCACACTGTAATCTCATGCTCTTCATTTTTGTGGGAGGATAAATATGACGAATCCTTTTGATGTCTTCTTCCTCACACTCTAAGCGCCACTGGAGATATATACTCGACAGCTGCTCATGAATCTGTCTCAGAAAAGCAATTGCAATATAAGGTAGGCATATGATGAATGACACAACCTCAACCTACAGATTCTATTTGTTTGCGCTTCCTCCGTATGCTAGGAATAGTTAGGGACCTTATAACTCATGGAATCACACAGGCACAAGATCAGCACTCAGGATCCTTAACCTGCAGAGCCACTGATCACAACTGTAATATACATAAATTTCTTAAAAACTTACACATCATGTCTATCAATCTGCTTTAATCTATCTTGTTGACAAATACATTTTAGTCACACTTACTTGGCCTAGAGTTAAGTTTGCAATTTTGCTAGGAAACTCAATGTTGTCGATGATTTCTTCTGGCACTTGCAGGGGCTTGAGGATATCCCACTTAGGGTCATAGTCATGAGGCAGAAGGCCATAGTCTTTGATGAGTTGGAATGTGCTTTTGTAGAATTTTTTAAACCTAGAAAAAGGTCTCCTATGAGATGCATATCAAAGTTTTTATTTTGTCTATCTGAAATTGTGTGTGGCAGGGTAAGAGCATTATCTGTGTAGGAAAAATTTCTACATATTTCTCGTTGTGCACTGAAACATGATTTTAAAGTCTCTTTCAAGTGTGCTGGTCAAATGCTTAAAAAAAAAGGGCTATCAAAGAGCATACAATATCAATTTCTTCTAAATTACCTGCTTTACCAATTCTGCTAAAACTTTTGATTGGTAGATAACTGTGCACATCAATTTTACAGGTCTTTCTCCAACTGTCTCACCTTTTAAAATGAGCAACCTTGAGATTAATAAGCCCTAATTCTTGGAGGATGGCTATCTGATGCTGAACCGTCAGAGGGCAGTAGTAAAGTAGTTGCAGATGACTTCGTACTTCTTCTGGCCTTAGGCCATTTTCCTGTAAATTTCAGGCAACACTTTAATCAACACCACATACATTACAAGAAACCTTTCCTTTATTGATATCCTTCAGTACATGCATTACATTTTCACATTTGGAAAACAATTTCTTATTAGTACTTGTAAAAGGCTCTTCAGTAAAAAAATCTCAGCTTCCTCATAAATAATTTCTATCTTAAAATTGGAAAAAAAAAACTACAACAACAAAAAGAACACATGAGGGACCAGGAAAGAAATTAATTTGGTCAGAACATAACATCAGAATTATATACTTTTTATATGCAATACATACTTGTATAATTTCAGGATTCTGGCAGGTATAAGCTGATGAAATTTAAGACCTTTTTTAAGATCTAGGCCACTTGTCACTGAATACACACTTCCCCATAATTTGTAGGCCTACTTGTTGGGTCAGTGACCAAGATAAAGAATTCACCATGACATGATCTCTACACAGCCTCTTGGATAGATTGCATGCCTGAATTACATACTTTTGCATATGGCCCTTTAGTAAACAGTTCCGTCAATCAGCAAAGGTCAAGGTCTAATGTTGTTGACAAATGATTTCTGATTAGCCGCATAGCAAACCGCAAGAAAAGGCTCCATTTTTTAAAGACCTTTTAAGGCCTTAAATTTCCCCAAAAATTATTCATGACATTTCAAGACATTAAGGATGTGCAGGAACCCTGAATATATAAACATTGCCATATATTCACAAAAACTAATAATCATAAATATACAAGTATAAATACTGACATAACCAATATCTACTAACTTTAAGTGTTGACATATTCCTCGAGAGAATGAATGTATCACACTCTCCTAGTCTTGGGTCACCCTCAACTATTCTCTGGGCTTGTGATTTGCTCACCCCTGCAATAAAGGATCAAGACATGAATTAAAGTTCTTAAAGCATTGGCAGTCACTTTCAGTCATAAAAGTTGTACTAGCATAAGGAAAGAGCACATGATCAATGTACAGAAATAATGAATTAATCAATGAATAGATAAAGATTGTTAAATCAATATGCCCAAGGTAAAGAACAAAAACTGTTTTTCTCCTCTCATTCAATATCACATTTGACGCTATATATTCCTTCCCTCTCCTTACCAAAGAAATCTGCAAGAAGCTTGAATCTGGGAGGTGCCTTTGGGAAAGATACTGAGCTTGTGTTGTGCTTCCTTTGCACCCTGTCTGCCATAGGGCTAGCAAGAGTTGCCATCCATCTTCCTGGTGCTTGTAAGTGTATCCAACCAGAGTCAAAAGGAAAATTCAACATCTGAAAATGTTGACTTACTGAATGACTTGAAAAAAGATATAAAATAAAACAAAGTTATTCTTTCTCTGTGTCAATTAATATGTTTTGGATCACATACATTGAGGAGATATTATAAGCCAGTTGTAATTTGCCTTACCAACTTTCTCACGGATACTGGGTTGCTGTTTCTCCAATCTGTGCTACCTCTTCTAACACCACATATCTTAAGACTTTTCCAAACCATCAATAGCTGCATTGTTCTATTCTGTAAGACATGTGAAAAGGTTAGTAATAAATAATTGACAAAATATTAAAAGCAAGAAGTAAACACAATGTTATTGGAATAAAAATTCAAGGCCTGAGACAGAGAGTACAGTGAAATAAGGCTCTCATACTCCCAAAAATACACACACACATATATAAAAGGAAAAAAAATACAGAAAAAGAAATATATACACGTGACCTAAACATAAAAATATACACTCCTATAATTTTCTTTCTATTTCCTCATCACTGTACACATCAGGGTACAGGAACTGATCTTTAGATCTTAGCAATAACTAGCTTAGTCTACCCTGTATGTGTGTTTGTCTCCCTTTCGGTAATTTTTCAGAATATCTTCGCATATCCATATTGTGGAAAGCCTCCTATAAGCGACAATAGGGGAGGGCATGAAAGGTACCAGGGAAATTGCAGAGTCCCCAGCATTATACAATAAAGCGACTAATTCTGTGTATATTACTCATATATTATCCTGCAATTTCCAGTATTATTAGAAAAAGGCATCACCAAAGAATCAATGAAAACTAACCTTACAGCCTTGAAGATATTTAATTAATGATTGCTTTTCATTGAATAAACGTCCCGCAAATGAATAAGAACAAATTTACTTAATTATCAAAAGAAATAAAAATAACATTGGAAAGAGGTGAGATTCACATGATTGCTGAGGGAATACTGACCAAATTCTCCACTGTGCATGCGCGGGGTCTGTCAAACCTATTCTGTTCCTATTATTTCACCTGTGGCCAGTGTCATGATTTCATTGTCCGATTGTCTGCCAGTTAATTTAAAAACCAATGGGGAAACAAGACATGAAGAAACAGTCAATGAATGAACATTAGCTAAAACAGAAACTATGAAATTCAACTTTCAAATCAGTCTCGCCATGGCTTCAGTATGTGTAGGGTATCGTATCATACCATACCGAGCTATAAAAAATTAGTTTGAAGACGATGAGGCTAGCTCGAAACTATTATGTCAATATGGAGTGCTACCTTCTGAAGTGCTTTGCGACTAGCTGTCACGACATCACTCATCCTCACGCAGACCTCTCCGACGCTCCCGCTCCTACAAGCCACTCCAATGATATGACGACCCTCATCCCGGCCCCCCCCACCATATAGGTATGTTGTAAGGTTTATTTTCACTGAAGTGACTAGATGTACAGTACTTCACGTGCATACGAATGGCATGTGGAAGCAGCTGATGCCAACTCTGTCCGAAGCTCTCTCCTGCCGTGAATACATGGAGGATTCTTTGCATTCCTGGCTAGGGGTGGGATGGGGCGTAAGCCGGTCGCAGGGGGCACAGCGCCTTGCAGCCTTGCAGTGTGTAATTTTTGTACCTATGACTGACATGCGGGACTGCCCAGTGTTGAGTATGTCCGACGCTTTCTTCTGCCATGAATACATGGAGGATTCTTTGTTTTCCTGGCCAGGGGTTAGTGCCAGTAGGCCCCCTATGGGGGGGCTGTCGGGGGCACAGCCCCCTTTATTAGAAAATATAGTGATAATCAGTACCATGATTACAGCAGAGATCAAGAATTCTACACTGGACACATAATATCAAGAGTGGCACCATTCTGGTATGGAAAAGACATTCTAGCCATTTCCAATGTAAAAGAATACCAGATTCAACCGAACCAAAACAATAGAAATCAAACTAATCTAGTTTCATCCTGAGAAGCATTGGTGACGGCTTTTTCCAAATTTACCCAATTCCCTGGTACATTTCATGCCCTCTCCTACTATCAGGGCCAAGAATGTGGTGGTTTGAGGGAATTCCGCAACACAATTTTTCCATATATGTGTGCTGGTGGATGACAGGAATCCATTGATATCAAAATCGTCGCGATCGGGTATGCGAAGGTATTGTGAAAAAATTACCATGTCTGTCTGATACATATACTCTTGGCTTTATTACGAAAGATATGTAATGTCCACTCATTTTGCAACCGATTTTTTTCAGTATTACAATCAACTAAGCAATTTCTTATAAAAAATCATTCTAATCATATCTCTTCAGTGCTTGTCGCTTGAATATTTAAACAATACAATTACTTTATCACCATTTGCAGCCACTGAAGAGTATCTAACATATGAAGCAAAGCCGGAATTACATACTGCGCTTCCTTGCTTGAAAATCTTATGTCTGAGGACGATAGCTCGCTTTCCCTTCATTTAATTCTAAGCTGGAAGAAAATATTCATGAAAAATATGGTGATTAGAATATGAATACACACACACACACACACAAACACACAAACACACACACACACACACACACACACACACACACACACACACACACACACACACACACACACACACACACACACACACACACACACACACACACACACACACACACATATATATATATAAGTATGTATAAATATGTATATCGCTGAAAATGATGATACTGATAGCAATAACACCAATTATGATAGTAGTGATGACTACAATGACAATGATGATAATAATGTTAAAGATGAAAACTATTACTATAATGATAATGATACTGATTACAACAATAATAACAACTTTACTGATTACAATGATGATAATGATAATCAGTAATACTTACAATAATCACAATATTGATGGCAACAATATGAATAATAAAAAAAAATGAAAACAATATTAGATCTAATGATAACTAATAAAAATAATAATGATAATTATAATGACGATGATGACGATAATAATAATAGCAATGATAATAACAATGATAATGATAAAAAATAATGATAATCATAGTAATGATAATAATAAAATAATAATAATGATAATAATAATAATAATGATAATAATAATAATAATAAAAAAATAAATAATAATAATAATAACAAAATGAAAATAATATTATCAATAATGATAGTTACAAAAACATAATAATATTATTACGATTATTATTTTTATTATTATTATTATTATTATTATTATTATTATTATTATTATTATTATTATTATTATTATTATCATTATTATTATTATTATTGTTATCATTATTATCATTAATGGTAATAACAATAATTACAATAATCATGGTAATTAATAATAAGAACAACAACAACAACAATAATAATAATAATAATAATGATAATTAATGATAATTATATTATTATTATTAAAATAATAATAATGATGAAAATAATAACAATGATAATACCAAAAAAAAAAAAAATGATAATAATAACAAGAACAAAACAATAAAAACAACAACAAAACAACAATAATGATAATAGTGATATTAGCAAGCATACCAACAATAAACATTGTAGGAGCAGGAAGAGAAAGAGGAGGAGGAGGAGAGGAGGAGAGGAGAGGAGGAGGAGGAGGAGAGGAGGAGGAGGAGAGGAGGAGGAGGAGGGAGGAGGAGGAATGGAAGGAGATGGAGAAGATAAGAAGAAAAAGGGAGAAAGAGAAGAAGAAGGAGGAGGCAGAAGAGGAGGAGATGGAAAAGGAAAGAAGAAAGGGGGAGAGGAGGAAGGAGAAGAAGAAAGGGTAGGAGGCAGAAGAAGAGGAGGAGGAGAGGAGGAGGAGGAGGAGGAGGAGGAGGAGGAGGAGGAGAGGAGGAGGAGGAGGAGGAGGGAGGAGGAGGAGGCGGCGAGGCGTGGAGGAGGCCGCGACCCGCAGACAGCGGGGCAGATAATCAATAACGAAGAGCCAGGATATTGCCACACGGTGCCTCCCTCCTCCTCCTTTTCCTTCTCTTCCATTTCTTCCTCTTTTCATTTTCCTGCCTCTCCCACTTCTTCCCTTCCTCTAACTCCGTGTCGCGCCCCAACCCCTCCCCTACTCATTTCCCTCGCTCGTCCCTCGAGCTCATCTCCTCGTCATCTCTTCGCTCGTCTTTCTTCCTCCTGTTTAGTGCATGACTACGAGGTCATGTCGGTGTCATGCGGTATGAGGTTCGCCATGCAGGTCTATAGCTTGCAAAGGTTAAGTTAGGGGAATGAACTGTTTCGAGCAGACATTTCAGGAGCTGGGTGGATGTTGGGGAGGGAAGTGTCCCGCAGCGTCCGTTGTGGGGCACTCGGTGTAGGAAGGGAGTGTGGAAGGGTGGGAA